ATGCTCAGACAGTATACTGACCTATATACATTTAAATTGATCAGCCCATTAATTAAAGACAATTATCAATAAAAACTATTCTAGAATACATAAATCATTACAGTTAGCAATCACGTAGTAGATTCTGTTCTGGAAATGTATGCATGTCTGGGTATTATAATTTTGTATAGTCAATTAATTGAAATATATGCAATATTAGTGCTACCTGTGTTGAGTTACCACTTAAGACTATTTTTGGCTAAATGTGGCTGCTCTTGCTTATAATCCTAGTTACTCAGGAGACTGAAATGGAGGATTGTGAACTCAAGACTATTCTGGCCAACTTCAGAAGACCATGGCTCAAAATAAAAATATGAAAGAGTGGAGATACAGCTCTGTGATAGAGCTCTCCTAGGTTCAATGCCTAGTATTGGAAAAATATTCAGAACACTCATGTCTTGTTATCACACCAAAGGTTATTTATATAGTGAAAGTCAAGGAAAGAAAAAAGCAGGGGAACAAAACAAATATTTGTATTTGGAAAGCCTTTAATTCCACATTTGCTTAACATGAAAATCAATTGTCTTATGAAATCTAAAGGGCAAAGTACTAGATGCAGATGAAACTAAGTCATGAAAATAAATACAGAACTGTCTATCAAATGTCAAGCAACCAAAGACCAAAGAAATTTCAATGTGTGGTATTAATGGGTGAAAGAAAATAAAACCTAGAGATTTTGTCTTCTGTTTGTTTTAAATTAACATGATAAGTTTTGTTTGCTTTATTTTCCCATTTTAGAAGTATGTAAAATATATTTTAAAATCCGTGACATTTTGCTTTCCAAGAAATGAAGCAAGATACTCCATTGAAAAAAATGAGACAAAGACAATTGTACTTAGTAAAACAAAGTATTACTTTTACTCTAAGGTTCACATTTGATTGATTCATTCTCAGATTTTTCATTCTTTTCTTCTCTACTAGTAACTCAATGGATAAATAATAAGCTCACTACTTAATAGTGAAGTTATCCCCAAACTAACATACTTCATGACTCTGCAGAACCAATTCTGATTTTGAGGAAAATATGAGTAGGAAAAAATTCATTTTAAGAATATAATCCTAAAAGCTTTCAAAGAACATAACAACAATTAATGTAAAGAAAGTTATTTCTTTCTCTCTGAGAGAAGACAAATTGCTATGTATATATGTTATATGTACGTATTGTTTTTATGTATTTATGTATTTATATATGTTTTTTGAGTGAAGGAAATCTTCCTAAGTTTTTTCAAAACATGTTCCAAAACGCATTAAATAAAATGTATATTCTAAACTTAGAATTTTAGAATTGAAAGAAAAGTAAATAATTCTTAGAGTTTTATCAAAATCTACCTTGTATGGTCTCTATTTTAATAGTCTCATTCAATGGACTCTGAAACTGAAGTCCAGAAAAAAGTATATATACATATACATTTATCCAATATCTTAGTTTGGTGTTAAAGTCTTTTCCTCAAAGTTCATTGTTCCACCTGACATTGAACATATGAGCGAGATAATTAAGGCAGGAGATGCCACTGTCATTGGCTAGTGCAGGTTTTTGCTTCAGTGATAATGGAAATTAAAACCTAGTCAAGAATTTTCAGGAGAAAGGCTTTAATTGGAGATTGAGAGAAAATGGTAAGCAACTTCAGTTCAAAGAGCTGACAAAGATCAAACCAGTTAATTAATGAAGGAAAATAAAAGACAGAGAAAGGACCACCAGCCATGGAGGGGCCCCAGTTTTACGGGTGCTGTGGTTAATGTTTCAGTTCAGGTTTTGTAGCTCTGGAGGAATCTTCATAACTTGCAGGGCGATTCGGTTCCCATGAGATGACTGTTTTCACTGGCATGCGTGCTCTCATGGCATGAGTGATCAAGAAGTGGCTTGCGAGGCTGGTTTGTAGGTGATCACATGTTCGTGACAATGGCTGGAGATGTGTACAGAGTCTGGAACAACACATTGTGACGCTGACAGTAAAAGCCCCTGAAAAACCTGAAAATTACTGCAGCTACTCTTATCTTGATGTCCTCAGCCTGGAAGAGATATGAAATATATTAAGTAAGACCTTGTAGTATAGATACTCCCTTAGTGATTAGCATGTCCGCTTGTGGAGCCCAGCAGCCATCTATCTCAATATTTTAAGGTAATAAAGAAGATATATGGTAAGCTTTATCCTGTTTTTATTTGCACATTAGACACTTGTAAGTCTAGATTCAAAATCCCTGTTATATGGTGATGTGCCTTCTAGTTCTTACTCCCTATTCCTGAATTACATAGACACTTTTAAAATCCAGGCATTCATTTTTTTTTTTTTTTTTTCGTGTGCTGAAAGTGTAACTCTCTGGTATATTCCTCTCTAGGAATTCCCCTGAAGACAAAAAAAGGAAGGTTGTCAACTAATCCAAGTTTGTAACCCTTGCTAGAGTTTTCCAATTGCTATAACAGACAAATGGAGAAGACCACAACCATTTACAGGGACTAGAGGCAGCTATCTATAGCAATCTCAATCTCAGTTTACCTGGGTGGTGGTGAATCTTAACTGCTTAAAATTTGGCCTTTCCTTTTGTCTGGTTCTTTTTTCTTTATTCTTCCATAAGAAACTTAAAAATATGCCATAAAATCTATGTTCTGGGGAAACCAATAATAAATACAAAATTACTAGCATATTATACAGAAATTACTTTTTAAAGTCAAGATAGAAGTGTGTAAATTCATTTAGGTTCAACAGGACTTAATAAACACCTATCAAAGTAATTTCATGGCCTACTGGTCACTTTATTTTTTATGTGATTATTAGTACTATTGTCTTCAAGATAGCTATGTTCAAGGTGTGATATTAGACATTAGACGTGAAATATTTCCTTGAATATGTACCATAAACTTGTTGGAAGATAGAGGTCTAAAAAAAATCTTTTCACAAATGAGTAAATAGGAGAATTAGAAAGGTTAATTAACCGAACATTGTCCCTCAGTTAGAAAATGTCTGATTTGGTTGGTTCTCCTGTTAAACTTTACACTGCCTGAAGGGAGGATACAAGCCTTTCATAAATAGATCCATTTCCCATCGCATATGCAGCTATGTTCAAGGTGTGATATTAGACATTAGGCGTGAAATATTTCCTTGAATATGTACCATAAACTTGTTGGAAGATAGAGGTCTAAAAAAAATCTTTTCACAAATGAGTAAATAGGAGAATTAGAAAGGTTAATTAACCGAACATTGTCCCTCAGTTAGAAAATGTCTGATTTGGTTGGTTCTCCTGTTAAACTTTACACTGCCTGAAGGGAGGATACAAGCCTTTCATAAATCGCATATGCAGCACCTTGCCCTCTTTAGTAATCAGTATTAATTAGATGAATCCAAAATGTCTGATCTCACACACATGCCATTTCCTGGAGTTAATGGAGAATGTAACCAAACTTTTAAAACACAAACTATGTTGAATAAACATGAATGAGGGATTTAAATGTTTTTTTTTTTACACTGAGTGAAATATTCTTCATATCTTCCTTTCTGAAGCAGATCCTCATGTACCTTGTTAGCAACATATAAAGAAGAATCACAGAGGCTGCCTATGGGATTGCATTATTTGAACTCTTTCAAAATACCTTTATTAAAATGGTATATTCGATTTAATATACTATTCTAAGAGAGTTAAAAAGATCATATAAAGGAAACAATGAATATTTCCCAAAATGTAATGTTAAAGTTAATGGAAGTGATATCATCATCTTCCTTCTGTACTTTCCCATGCAATATATATATATGAAAAAACATCCTCACAAAAATGAAAAACAGTAGAAGATGATGTTTATGTGAAGTAGCTTGATTTAATCATTTAAAACTATACATATTTATGTCTCAAAAATCACTTTGTATCTCCATAAGTGTTTACAATGATTTCTCAATTATAAACATAGTTATTTAAAAAGAGGTATTACAACTGTTTCGACTGTTATTGATTTACTAATGTCTCATTGTGCTAGTTTTTTCTCACAATATTTAAAAGTAGCACCCATGATACGTTTAATATTTGACTTAGGTGAATTGTTTGCTGGTCCATTAATGATACCCTTTAAACCAAGTCAGCAAAAACCTTTCACTAGCTCCTCTGCATGTGTTGTGACAGCCTATTGCCATTTCGATAGCTTTTTCTCGCTTACCTGTTTTTCATCAATTCTCGTTTTTGTAGCAACTTCTTCTTGCAATAGAACAATAAGCCAGTTTCTACCTAAATGTGCTTTACTTAAACCAAGACAGTACCATCTGCAGGACGAAGCTCACAACCTTCCTCTCCTCCTTAGCATAAATCATGAGCTTTGTCTTGTTTCTATCTCTAGAGCATATTTTTTTTGTGAGCAGAAAGATGCTGGGTACTCATGGTATGTAAATAAATGGCAGTAAATAAATTGCAACCAAAATCTAAATGAATCATGTGTTGAAATTTCATTTTATCTTTCTCTTTGAGGTTCCAGAAAGTAATATCAGATAGCATCTGTTCTTGTTCACAGTGGTTCTTGTTCTCCTTTGGTCATTGGAGCAACTGATGATTTTCATTGCTAAATTTCATTTCTAAATTACTACTTTGATAACGCATTTCATGCTATTAATAATTCTGCTAACTTTCTGTGTACATGCTTAAGAAAACACAACATACTAAAGCAACAAAATATATCACCTCATTAGCATTAATATGTATCAAAGTAATCCATACTTTCAGATAAAGTCATAGAATTCAAACTGAGGAAATTAGATGAACTAACTCAAAATGTCTCAAGATACATTGATCTTATATCAATTGCATTGTAGTACCATTTTTCTGGGAAACTTAAGCTCAAGGAAAATTCCGTTTCTCAAAATCTTGTTGAAAAGTTGTGGGCTTGCACACAAACGTATAAATACCACTCCGCATTGTGCATATGCTATGAATGTGTCCTTAAAGATGTTTTTAAGGCATCTTTTCTTTTCTGTGTCTTACTCTAGGCTACATATCGAAATCGAATTGTGAGCCAAAATCTCAGCACAAGGGACAGAAAAGCAATACATACTCCCACCGAGGACCGTTTTAGATACTCAGCAGCTGACCAGACAAGCCCCTACAAAAACAAGACCTGTCAACTTTCAAGTCTGTGTTTAAGTAATTTCTTGAAGGACAAGGAACTAGTGGAAGCTATCAAACACTCGAGAGGAGCATGTGAAACTCTCTCTTCAGAGGTTGCGCAGAATTTCCAGACCACTGTCGGGCAGAGCGCCCTTAAGCCAGTGGCCAAGACCGAAGGGCTCTCCAAGTTCTCAGAGAAACCAAAGGAGCAAGTCACTGCGTCCCGACAGCATTCGACCTTCATGGGCAGGCTTGGGCAGCCACCGCGGGGGCCAATCTCTTTACACATGTACAGCAGGAAGAATGTTTTCCTCCACCACAATTTACATAGTACTGAACTACAGTCTCTGGGCCAGCAAGATGGGTAATGAAGTTATCCTATTCTTGTCTCTGGATAGGATAAAGATGGTTTGTGTTTCTTGTGCATAGTTCATATTAAAATTGTCATGTATTTTATATTACTTTTAATTTTAGTCACGAACAAAGACTTGTGGTCTTTAGTTATTATCATTATTATTTTAAGAATGAAGGTTCACGGGCCAGGAATGTAGCTCAGCAGCACAAGCTCCTGCCTGCCAAATGCGAGGTCAGGAGTTCGATCCCTGGTACAAAAAAAAAAAAAAAAAAAGAGAGACTGAAGGTTCAAGCATGTTAATTGAATTAAGTTGAATTGCCTCGAAGAATTTACTATATATGTGTATAATAAAGGGGACCATCTTGATGGTTTATATAATTGCTAATTTAGAGAGAATCTTGTATCTCTATCACGGATTCACATTTAGATTTCAAAAAGTAATGTCAGATAGCACTCTGTTTACTGTCAACAGTGTTACTATAAAGATAGATATAAAAAGGAAATAGATAAAGGAACTGTAAAGAATTTTAAATGACATAGTTAATAGAGAAACTTTAAAGTGTTATATTTGGTGGTGTATTTATTAGAGGAATGAAGCTTGTTTGCATGTAACATAGAGATGTTTTTGTCTCTCTATTACATACATCCAAGCTTGTGATACCTTGAACAGGGGAAGGCTGTTTCTTTTATCCTTTAAATGTTTTGTTTACAGTAGTGCTCAAAGGATTTTGGACAGAGTAATTGCTAGCCAAATAGGGAATGACAGCTCTGATCTTTAAACCAATTTTGCTTTTAGTTTTTGCTATTGATATGGAAGCACCATAGCATAACACAGTGAAGAGGTAAAGTGGGCTGGATTTTGTTACATGACCTGCTGTGTTCTCTGAGTCACTGTTGTAGAAATTTCAGCATTTTTGAAATGTCAGGAATTCAATATTCCGAGAAAAATATTATTTTATTTTATTTTTCCTATATTCTTAAATGTTCATTTTAAATATAAATCCAGTTTTGGTTTATATACATATGGAACTTGATTAACTGAGGAACAGGGTGTCAACTTTTGGTATCCTATAAAAAATACTTTTGACTGTGAAGTCATTTAGACTTAGAAAACAAAAAGTAAAATAATACATGAACTTTGCCTGTTTGATCTTAGAAATAAACCTTTAACTGAAATATTTAAAATTCAGTGATGGCACATATTTTGACAAATAAGGTATTACATACTTAAGTGCTCATGAGATAGATCAATAAATCTAAATAAAACAGTTAATCTTTAGTAAAAAAGCAGTTTCAAATGGTAAGTATAAATAATTGCAAAAAGACTATTGGGAATCAGGTGTGCAGTTTTCTTATACTAAGATCAGAGCTGGTAACCATAGCCACGTTAGACATAGTCACGCAAATTGAAACTGTCATATGCAGTGCATGATCTGTTTTCCTTGCATTCACTGACAGACTCTGTCAGCCTGCACAAATGAGATGAATGAAGAGAAATTAAGATAGCAGTTTTAGCATGGCATCTGACTAACCTGCTTACATCAAAGCTATATGTGAAATGCATCTTCTAATATAAAAATATATTTGAGTTCTATGCTTTGGGGAGAAGCATTAGACCCTCTCCCCAGATTTAACCACTGAACTTTGATCAACTTTCAACTTGGTTAGAATTGCTAGTAAGATGTATAGGGAATATGTTTTAATTTTGGTTTTCCAAAACAAGCATGTGCATCAAGACAAATATTCATCAAATGTTTTCTTTTTCTTGTGTGTTTATAATTCTGCCAAAAGAGAAGAAAATGCCCCATAATTTGCTTCATTTAATGAGACTGCTGTCAGAAATTTTCATCATATTTTAAAAGTTGTAATATTCAGGCAAACATGCATTATGGACTGGGTAACATTTAAAGAATCATAGAAACATTATGATTTACTTGTGAAATTCAGCTTGAGTTGTACTGAAAATTACTGCGTGTTGCTAGAATATCTTAAATCTATAAATAAGTAAGCATGATAAAATAATCAAGGATTTTTTTCCCAGGATATGGAAGAGCTATGTATCACAAATAATGTTTTTGATTTGGAATTTTGCAGTTTGTAGTTTCATTTTGCTGGAAGATAGACTTTTGCATTATACTTTGTAAAAAATAATCTATTTAAGAAAATCTGTCATTTAATAGACATTTTAAGAGATGTTTTAAACACTAGTATTTTCTTGGAAAATCTTTTTTAAAGCTGGAACATTCAAAAAGACAACCTGGATTCAACAGTTCAATTTTAAAAGGAGGGATATTTTTTGGAAATATCATCTTAAAGCTGTTTTGTATCAGTATTTTCAAGCATTGTTATACTATTATTTGTAATACTCAGTGTAACTCAGGCCTGGAGAAGGTATAAGCCCACTGTATTAATATAGATCAATAATGTAATACAGAGGTCTTTTGTAAGTTCCTCTTGTTTAGATAGTCTCAGTCATAACAATGGTGTCTGGGTACTGTTTCAGTGAGTCAAATTCTTTGTACTAAAATCTCTAGTTTTCTAAGAAAGTTCCATGTATAAAAATGATTTATACATTTCTCCAAGGCCGTACATATCCAAAGACATGACACCAGGGGGGAAAAGTGCTTGTTTTTTTGTTTGTTTGTTTGGTGAAGCAGTGGTCTTTTCCTTTTTTCCTTCTTTAGTGCATGTGTGTCTGTAGCTAAGCCCAAGCAACCCTGTGAAATTTCTGCTGCAAACTGTCTCCTCTGAATCTAGAATGTTTTAAAGGACACTTAAGAAAAGACAGTCCTGAAGGAAAGATGTTTCTACCTGAAATAAATCATTCCCACTTTTGTAATTATTGGAACATGAAGCTGTATTTCTATGAACTCAGTAATTTTTTCCGGATAATTTTATATGCTACCAGAGGCACCAGAAAGCTACGGAATATCTCCCAGATTATATCCATTTCTTTGGAGCACCTTCATCTTATTCCAAATGACACAGTGAAATTGTTGTTGCAACTTTAAAGGTATAAATCGACCAGTATCATGACGCTCAGGGGAAGAGCCTACAGTCACAAGTTACTCACGTTATCTTTATTATTCATTCATTTATGAATCAATAAAATGATGGGCTGATAGATAACACTGAACAATTATAAGCATGGACATATTTGGCTAACTTGTTTACAAAAGTTTTCCTGGCTTATCCAAGTTTATGGTTGGTATTTTACTTCTAATATTTTTCAGGATTAATCTCAGGCCTGTATCATTATTTTCTGAGTGTTGAGCTCTTGTTGAATTCATAGGAAATTTTATATTTTGTTTTGTTTATTGTCTTTTGTGTTTAGTAGAGATAATATTCCTTTCCCACCACAAAAAAGTTAAGTTTTTCTTATTGTTATTGTTATTGTATCTTTAAGGACCATATCTCTAAGATAAATCGATCACATTCTATCACTCTTCCCAGGAACTTTCTTAGTAATTTAGTTGATGAAGCAGCAGGAATAGTTTAATAAATACTGAATCCTATTTCCGAATATCATTGGTCATTATTACCTTCCTCATCAAGGAATAGTAAGCCTCAGTAGTGAGTAACTTGGCATAGTGGGTATAATCTTATAATATTATTATAATCTTAGTATATTTTAAATTTGACTCACTTTTTCAGTTGTGGAACTTTATATGTTGAAGCCATGAAAGTTCAAAGTACCCCTACCACTACAATGAACCAAGCATACCTGAAAACAGAAAAGTGGAAGTGTGCAAAGGTGCAACCCATGATTATCATCCTCACAACTAACTCACATTGCCCAGCATAGCACCTTTCCTTCCACTGAAATACATCCTTAAATGAAGCACTGGTACTTTACACCAACATTTTGTGTCTAAGACTCCACTTTAGGCATATTAATCAGGTCCCTTTATATATTTTCATATATATACACATATCTTTTTTCACAAAAAGTATTTCAAAAACATATATTTTTTTTGTAATTTACTCCATCTGGGATAAAAATTTGGGGGGCTAAGGATATATTGCTCAGTGACACAGCGCCTGCCTGAAATTTGAAAAAAAAAAGAAAAAACTTTAATTTTTTTTCTTTTCTCACATGCTGAGTCTGCCATATACATATAGGCTAAATCGAATTGTATAACAGAGATGTTAGTATTTAAAAATGATTTTTGGTTTTCTTAAAAAAAGAAAAAAGTTGATTTGCACATAAAATATAAGAGCAAACAGCCAAGTAACCAACAATCGAGAGGCTCACTTGTTTAATAAGATACATTATCATTGCAAAATTTTTGTTTCTCAAATTTTCTTCTTTGCCAAATTGTTCCACCAATAGTCAGAACTACAAACATATCCATGAATTAATAATTTTAACCACACATTTTATCTTACTAAGAACACATTTCTAATTTCTAAGGAGTGTGGCCTCGAAACAAAAGTCCAATGATGGCATTTTGAGTTTCATTACCTATCCGACTGTCTACCCTGTTGAAGATCTAGAGAATTTCTTAGGAAAAACTAAGGCACATAAAAGTCTTTAAATATGTAGGGGACATTTTTGACATTAAGCAGTGATCTAGGATGTGGGTGTTATGGCTCAGACATTGATTGTGCCCACTCAAAGTTCTGACTGGAGGATTGGTCTCCAGAGTGGTGGTATTGGAAGATCCTGTGGAGACTCCGAGAGGCAGAGCCTGGTCTGTAGATGTAGTTCAGTTACAGAGATTTCCTGTCAGGGTTAAGTCCCTGGGACTGAGTCCTGGAATGAGAAGAGAAACACAGACACACAGACACACACACAGACACACACACACACACACACACACACACACACTCACAAGCACACGCATAGGCATAGGCGCAGGTACAGGCACAGGTACAGAAAGAGAGAGAAGGGGGAGACAGACAGAGGCACAGAGAGACACAGAAACACAGAGATAGAGAGGGAAAAGGAAAGACAGAAGGGGAGAGGAGGAGGTGGAGAGACAGAGAGACAGATACAGAGAGAGAGAATGCTTCCCTCATGGGGAGTCCTTAAGTCATTTAAGGTATGTCCTTGAAAAGTAGTTGTGATGTGATCCTTTGAGTTCTTGTGAGAGGGTGATCATAAAGTAGCAAGCCTGGTTTCTCTGCTTTGTCTTACATTGTGACTACTTGTTACTCCGTACAATACTATCATTGCCACTAACCAGCTGTCAGGGGGCTCTTACCAGAACAAAGCTGAGGTCCTTTTTCATGCTCTTGAGCTTCCAAGACTATAACCTACAGAAATTTTTTGTTCTTCATGAGTAGCATGTGTCAGGTATTGTGATATAGTAATAAAATGCTGACAAAGTGATAGAATAGCATGATTTTCTCTGACGTGGACACATTAACGTTTCCAATTTAATCTCACAAACATTTTTCCTTAAAACTGAAAAAGTGGAGCCTCCTACATCTTGTCATCTTTTGCAAATATTACCTCATTCCATTAATAAGTGGAGTTCATTGTAATAAAATATCATAGACTGAATGGCTTAAGCAAAAGATTTATGGCTTACAATTCCATTTCTGGGGCCTACAAGTGCAAGCCTGAGGTGTCGGAAGAACCAATTCTGATGAGGAAGAGTGCAGTGGGCAACTTTCTTGTATCTTCACATGGTAGAGAATAAACTCTGGTTTCCTCTTCTTAACAGAACTCTAATCCCATTCTAAGGATCCCACCCTCAGGACTCAGCCAACCCTAACTACCTTCCGAGGCTCCACCTTCAGACCATCATGTTAGTACAAGAGTTTTTAATTAGGAATCTGTGGGCAATGCATCCATTCTATAGCTTTCATTTTCAGTTTACAGCAATCTAGTGAGGGAGATACTGTTTTTTTCTTTCATAGATTATTTGAGCGAATTAGAAACTTTGCCAAGGACATTCAACACACGTGTTTAAATAAATGTATTCATAGCCTTCACCTTTTCCTTTATGTCACGATTACATCTGGAGAGGGCCCTTCAGGAAGGAGGCTGTGTGAGTCAGACAAGCCCGTGCTGCCTCACTCTCTTTTACTGTTCCATTGATATTGCTATGAAAGGAAATCTAAGCAACGTTTAAGTTTAGAAAAAATTCAGTCTCAATTTGTAGAGAAGTCTTAGAAGAATGTTTTCCTGTTTTAAACTTACCACCCAGACAATTGGGAACATTACTAGAAAAAGATTTCATGTTATTTTTTTTTTTTTTTTTGAAGTAGAGTGCCAACAACGTCTAAAAAAGGAAAACCCACTGTAGGTGAAAAAAGAACTGGGTTATCTTATTTTCCCCTTCTATTCTGAGAGTAATGATATAGATACCACTGAAGTTGATATGTTGTACATTTTAAAAATAAGACCATTCCAAAATTGCTTTAGACATTTCTGTATAAGGACAAAATTTACATATGGTTTAAAATTTTCTTAAATATTTGGAAGAGTTGAAATTAAATGTGATGTACAAATTTAATTGCTCAATTTTTCAACAAAATATATTTTATTCTGTCATTAATCTTATATACATAAATAATGTCTACATCTACATAAAATACTATTCTACCATGAGTTTTTTTCTTCCTAAACCCATTTCTTCAAGAATGCAAGAAAATTTGAAGAGTAGCTAAACTCTGTTTTTAGGAAGGAAAAATACATCAGAGGTTATTAATATTTATAAAAATATTTTCTATTCTTAATCTTCAAAATTCTAAAATTTTAATTGGAAATAGAGTAAGTAGCAAATTATTCTGGAGATTACCATTTTAAATAATATTGAATGTAATGATGTAATTTCTTTTGCGGCTCTTAATATACCAATAAAGACAATGATTTTACTTAATGGAAATTTCATACTTTGACTAATATTCTGAGGGAAGATTGCTATATTTAAGTATGATGATTAGAGAAATATGCATACTTCCTGCACATAATAAATTTTAAAACAAAAAATTAATCTGTGTGATACCTGATTGCTTTTAACATGATATTATCTTTTTCTGAACCTATGTCATTGATGGTTGGGCTTATTACGTGGGTTATACTCTGCAATAAACAATGTGACTCATTTCTGTGTCCCTGAGCATTGTGAGAACTGGAAAACATAAAATGCTGCTTATATCATCACTCATTTGATATGACTTCCTTTCCGAATCATCTTTTCTTAATTTTTGATACACAAAATAAGCACAATACCCCCAGATACCATGAAGGAAATTTACTTCTATAGGTATTGACATGGGTATGTGGAATCTATTTATTTTGGTACACTATTTTCATCCCATTTTTCTTTACAGCTAGTCATAGCCACATTGTAGCTTACAGTGTTTTGATTTTCTAGTTTAAAATTCAGTTTATTTATACTATACAATAATGTACGAAATATAAAATTCTTAATTTTTACACTGTCTTCCTCTTTCACTCCCACCTCTCTCTCCTTTCGCCATGCGCATACACACACACACACACACACACACACACACACACCCTGGAGTTTTCTAAAATGGGTAGACGATGTATTATGCTAAAAAGCTACTTAACCATTCACATACTATAAGGATATGCATTCATTTGGTATCCATTGCAGTTGATGGGGAAGAGTACACACTCATACTTCAAATGGTCATATGGTTTTGATATTTGTGGAGTTATAATACATAAAGCAGGCACCAAAAATTCAATATACAAAAGTAAATATTCCAGTTTAAGGAATATTTAAAAATATGACTTTCTGAAAGCATATCACAAAATCATATATTTAAACTCAAGTGTCACGTATCCTCATAACTTCAGAGTAAATGATTTTCCTCTGCTATGTGCCTTTACAAAATGAAACTTCAAAAGCAAAAATAAAACAATGCACATTTTATAATGTATTGCAACATAACCATATGGTTTAAGAGTCAATTCATTTTGCTAACCACTAAATGAGTTTCTCTTTCATTGTGAACTCCATTACTTTAGTTTTTAACTAAATTGCTATGGATATTCCACAACAACCCTAGATTTCATCTGACCCGAGAAAAAAATGGTCCTCATGAAGAATTCAAACATTAACAAATGTTGGTGAGGTCATGGGTGTAAAAGAACCCTTCTACATTGTTGATAGGAATGTAAACTAGTGCCTCCACTATGGAAATCACTATGAAGATTCTTCAAACAATTAAAATAGAAATGGCATTTGACCCACAAATTCCTCCTTGTGGCATCTTCCCAAAGTGTTGGTATTCTTTAATAAACCTTTTGGTTATTATTATAATCAATTAACATTTTCTTGAGGATGAATATTGTCACTATTTCATCTCATAAATCTCAATTGTTGAACAATTATTTTCAAACATTTGAAGTGTGGCATTGATATTTATAGTCCCTCCATATTCTCATTTTAATCTTATTTCAAATGATTCTCATAGGGTCATCCCTTTTTGTATTTCTTATATCACCAATATAGAAAATCTTTTGACATTTGTGGAATTATAATACATGAATCAGGCACCAAGAATTCAATACACAGAAGTGAATATTCCAGTTTAAGGGATATTTACAAATATCACTTTTTGAAAAATATCTAGAAAAAAACAAACAACAGACTTAATTTGAATTAATAGTCTATCAAGGTCCAATGCTTGCTTAATTTCACACATAGACCTATACTGAAAATTTCACAAGTAGCTCAGAGCGTTGCTGCATTTACAAGCATTGCTTAGAGTAGTCATGCAACCAAAATATTTAAAACTCAAATCAAAATGATGTGAAGAGATGATTTTGACTGTTGTACTTCACTGGTAGGGTTTGAGTTTGTTTTAATTTGGATTTGTACATTGAATGTGAAAAGTGATATATTTACATAAAGTTTAACTTTCGATTAGCAGTTGTATTAAAAAGTAGTCTCATTTATCATACCACTCTAAGACCAGGGGTTACACGATTTCTGTTAAAGAAGGGCTAAAAAAGAAATACCCATAGAAAAGCTGTCCAGAAGTCACCTGGTTGGTGAACTGTGAAATATGACCACCTTCCAGAAATATGAGCTGGTGCTATGTTTCAACTAAAAGGCTGATTTTAAAGAGTCAGTACTGAGAACTTCAGGTCAGATATTGCAGAGTTTATCCTCACACAAACATAACAGATGGTTTCAGTGTTCGCTGACAACTTTAGATCCAAACAAATATCACTTAAACACGTTGGATAAAGCTGTAGCACCATCACAGCAGCCAAAAACACTCTTTTCTTTTTTAATCTGAGTTTTTCATGAGACTATTTTTTGGTTAAAAAAGAATATATGGTAAATTCACAGGTTTCCATGTTACTCAAATTACATTTTACTATGAATTACAAATTTTACTGTTTTACTATAACTTTACTAGAATTATGTATTTTTCTGTTTTATTCCACAAAAATTAAAACTAACTCGTGATGAGCTGCTTCCTTATCTACTAAAAATAAAATTATTGAAAATGACTGCTGAAATGTCAAAAACTTTTGACTCTTTCAGGACTAGAGTATAAAATGATGAATAAAAACAACAGTCTTTTACCAATAATGGCGAGTATTATCTAAGAGATGTGCTTATCTAAGAGATAGAAGAAAAATGTCACGCATATAACATTTAAGAGACAGAACTCAACACAATGGCCAGTCTGTGCTCTGCTGTCATTATGCTGCATTTTAAAGAGATCCGATTTTTTTCTATCCAATAACTGATTATTGAAACAGCAGTATTGTTAGTTTCCAAAAAGCTTTTTCTCAATGTGTTTGTGAAAATCTTAAGCTTAGATTGGTAATGATCAATTCTAAATTTTCCACCAATAATTCTGATATGAAATCTTTACAATCTATGCTTTAAGGAAAGTAAAACAATAATTGAATATAGGATTTAAAAATATTAAGGTTGTGATTATTCAAAAGAACTACCTACACTGTAAAGAAATTTCTGACTTTAAGCACAATTTCAGATTCCTAGATCAAATCATTCTGTTAACTTTATTACCAGCTATGTTTATGCATTTATGTAACTTATATGCATGTTATTTACATATCATCTACCAGTGTGCCATGCACTTAGGATATACAGACAAAACTATATTTAATAATATATATATATATATATATATGGTACAAAATAATATATTGTATAAAAATAATAACTAGGATTAGGAGCCTTGTTTAGTGATCTTAAATGAATTATTACTGATTTTAATAATGCCTAACAACAGCTGAGTGATGCTGGATTTAGATAGATACTAAACTAAATGCTTTGTACAAAGGAATGTTCTAGCTGACTGTATTGTTCTGCATAAACAGAAAAAACAAACATTATTTTCGCGTGGCTATTAAGAGAGGTTTATAATAATATGTACAATCTCTTTACATGTAATGTAAGGATTTGAAGTAGAATAAAAGCACCATTATAAACAATATTTATAATGCTTTAAATGCTAACATGGAAAAAAATTAACATTGACTGCAGACTTGGGAGTGATAAAATAGTAACTCATTCTCAGCTGTGTGCTCACTGGTTATAAACATGAAATCAGTGAATTTTGTAAATGTTACATTTTCTTACATGTCAAAATATGATGAATTATTCCTCCCACAACAGTTTTAAGCAGGTTAAATTAGATAAAATGCAAAGAAGAATCTATTAAAATAGTTTACATAAATAATTTAAGTCCTTATAATTTATAATTTGGGTGGCTGGGAAGCCCAAGATCAAGGCGCTGGCAAATTTGTTTCTGGTGAAGAACATTGTGCCTGCTTCATGCATCTTTCAGGAAAAAAGAAAGCCAAGTCTTTTTACGCAGCAGAAAGTGAGGGAGGAAAATGTTCAGGCAGCTCCTAGGTAAGGACATCTGTGCCTTCCCGGGATCAGAGCGCTCAAGTCCTCCCTCCTATTACTATCCCCTGAACGTAAGAGAGCTTCATAAATTTAGACCACAGCATACATCGAATGCTATAAAGTCAAATTCATAAATGTACACAGTACCATATGATTACTCCAAAATTAATGACAGATATTATAACATATCCAAATGTCCATATCTAGACATTTCATATTCTTAATACATTTGAAAGATAAGTTTGTTGGAAGTGGCAGTATTTACAGTATAATTATTAGCAACACATAGTCTTTGTGTAACAGTGTAATTTCCAGAACAGCATCATGTAAAACTTCAATGTGTTGCCCTGTCATTTTGATTGAGAGACAAAATATATCACATTGAAGCACTGTCCTTACTGCAATTTTATAGGCTAGAAGATTTTAATTTCTCCCCAACTATTTGACTTTTCTATTCTGGACAATAATTTCTGGAACTAAATAACTTATTGCGTGACTTTTCACCAAATTTGACTCTTTACAAATAAAAGCATTACTGTGCTTGTTTTGATATCTTCTTAGTTCCTGAAGAAATGAGCACTGCTACCTGTCTATGGCAGAACCCACCTGGAGTCCAGGTACTTAGGGAGGTTGATGTTGAAGGATCACAACTTGCAACTCAGGAAGACCCTGTCTCAAATTTAAAAACAAACATACAAATAAATACATAAATATAAATGAGGTATAGGGCTGGGGATTTAGCTCTTTAGAAAAATTCTTGAGTTTAAAAGCACAAACAAACAAACAACAAAAATCAATGGAAGTTGTCCAATGCCTGTAACATGTAGTTACGTATTGTTTTAAATTTTCTAGAGTCATAACTATATTTCTATGCAGGGTTTTGTATTTCTTTCAACCTTTAATGAAATGATGCACTTTGGGTTAGCATTCAAGCCCAGGTGATACTCATCTGCAACCACCTTTATTGTAAGGAAGGCATTTCTGGTCTACATACATCTTGTTGCACTAGTTAATGAAGTAACTCTAAGAACTATAATCCTTCATCATTAGTTTTTAAATAAGAATTTTATTAAGGTATAATTCATTTGCCATAAAATTCATCACTTTAAAATGTGCAGATCGGTGACTTTTAGTTTATTCAAATAGTTGCACAGTCAATCTTTATGAACTTCAAAGGGCTTTTCCCTAGCATAGGACCTAGAGTTTTCTTTTGCATTGAAATATAGCTT